ATTTTTCGTAAATATTACGCCCAAACCTCAGAAACATTAAACGCACAGTTGATTTGTGAAAATTCGAAGATTGCAGAATAAGTAAAATAAAATTTTAATAAAAATAATCAGTAGAAAAAGATAACAATTTGATCGAACCTAACCTAAACATGAATGAATAATACAACATATAATAATCAATAAAAAAAGATACCAATTCGATCGAACCTAACCTAAACATGAATGAATAATATAACATACGATAATCAATAAAAAAAGATACCAATTCGATCGAACCTAACCTAAACATGAATGAATAATATAACATACAATAATCAATAAAAAAAGATACCAATTCGATCGAACCTAACCTAAATACGAATGAATAATATAACATATAATAATCAATAGAAAAAGATACCAATTCGAACGAACCTAACATGAATGAATAATATAACATACAATAATTAATAAAAAAAGATACCAATTCGATCGAACCTAACCTAAATACGAATGAATAATATAACATATAATAATCAATAGAAAAAGATACCAATTCGAACGAACCTAACATGAATGAATAATATAACATACAATAATCAATAAAAAAAGATACCAATTCGATCGAACCTAACCTAAATACGAATGAATAATATAACATATAATAATCAATAGAAAAAGATACCAATTCGAACGAACCTAACATGAATGAATAATATAACATACAATAATCAATAAAAAAAGATACCAATTCGATCGAACCTAACCTAAATACGAATGAATAGTATAACATATAATAATCAATAAAAATAATCAATAAAAAAAGATACCAATTCGATCGAACCTAACCTAAACACGAATGAATAATATAATATATAATAAGCAATAAAAAAAAGGATACCAATTCGATCGAACCTAGCCTAAACATAAATAGAAAACATAAAGAGAATAAATCTTCTAAGATGGACGGAATATCTGATTGTGATTGGAGCAGCAAATAGAACAGAGGTTATATAGCAAAGAGCACATACATATGTCCATATTATACTTATATCGAATTTCCGTTGCTAGAATGGGAGACACGGCAAGGAAAACTTTCGCATGGCCCTGGAACGATTCTCGTGAGTCAAACCGCGGTTTCTATAACTACGATGCACGATTAACTGCCGCGATGACTCACGGACAAGCATCTATAATAGAATGAAATCCCACGATTATTTTGAGCAACATTATCAAATGGCCTATCAAAAGATCGTTAGCATGCGAACGTGAAATTTATTAGAGTTTCTTTCGTTCATCTACCGCGCTGCGTTGATTCTAGCACACGAAATTGTGATGTATAATCTCGAAGATGCTAAGAGCATCAGAAATTGTTTTCTTTCTCGTGAATTATACGACGAAGAATGATATATTTTTTTATATATTGAACGACTCGTATAAACGAGACATCGAGTACAACGAGAGGCATTTATATCGAAATTAAGCGGCAATATCTGGTAACTATAATGTTTGAAAACATCGTCATTTTCTTCGTGAATAATATGACGAAGCACGGTATAAAAATATATATGACTATCTCATGCCAATTAAACGATGCATACAATGAGATGCATTTACATCGAAATGAAGATATTAAGAGGCAAAATATCTCTCGAAACTATAACGTGTAATTCCGAAAAAAAAAAAAAAAAAAAAAAAAAAAAAACACATCGCCATTCTCTTCATGAATTACACAACGAAGCGTAATAAAATTTCACAATACACGATGATATTCAAACAAACACAATGAAACATATTTATATATCGAAACAATCGACAATTTTGATGCAAAATCACGCAACTGTGACGTCCGGTTTCGAAATGCTAGAAACATCGGCGTGAAACATAAAATATATACACCGTGTCGTAAATAATTATCTCGCGCTAATGGAACGAATACAACGAGACGCGTTCGTATAATATCAAAAATGGTCGAGAAACAATCGACGCTGAAGAGCAAAATCTCTCGGAAGTTAAATGCCAAGATGACGAGACTACTAGACGTACAGAGAGATAGGGAGAGCCGGACGACCGCGTGGCCGTAAAGGGGCCTCTTTGTTTATGGTATGCTCGTAGTCGTTGCCGATGGTCGTTTCGATGCACAATCGAATCTTATTTGGTGAGAGCCGCCTCTACGTAGGCGTGCATCTCACTTTCTCTCTCTCTCTCTCTCTCTCTCTCTCTCTCTCTCTCTCTCTCTCTCTCTCTTTCTCATTCGCGCAGTATGAACTCTTGCCTCACAGCTCTCGACATTTCTCATCCGAGGCGAGAAAAAATTCGTGGCTCTCCTCGTACAAGCGATAAATTCTACAACTTCCAACATCGGAGAAACAGGGGCGCTTGTTGAAGAGGTTAGGATATTACGCAACTATCTTATGAAAATTTTCTCACTCTCTCTCTTAATTGATGTTTTTTCAATTCAATCCGACTCAAACAATATCAATCAGAGTAAATGAGAAATATTTAACAAAATCGGGTGAACTTTTCGTATCGACATCCTCACTAGGGGCGATGTTGAATATGAAACGTATTTAAAAATCATAGAAAGGGGTTAATCTGCAAGTTTGTCCAGAGTCGATCAAGTAATAAACTCCAGTATAAAAATACAATGGCTAATTTTATCGGTGTATGTATGAGTATTTTTTACACGTACATACAGGGTGGGTTAAAAGTTTTTTCCACCTATTTCTTTTTCTTTTTAATAAAATATCAAAATATAAGAAAAAATTTGGTGCACTTTGATTTGTAAACAAACCTTTTTTTTTTATATGTAATAAAAAAATTACAGATTTATTTCCAGCCTGTATATAGCATATTATATTGTATACGTATATGTGTGTATTAGTTGTGTATGCATATGTATTAATTATGTATATTTAAATGCTGAATTTCTGATCACGTTCCTTTATATTCGAAATTCAACTGCAATGCAGATAGGCATCGATAGCTTAGGGAGAACCACTGTCACAAGTTCACTCGAGTTCAAGTATTAGCAGCTATATATTACGGGCCACACGTGTTGATACCGATCAGCTTGTTACTTGCATTACACCTCGAGGATAGCAAAGATAAAAATGACCCTGCCGCTCTTACGTCAACGTCGTTACACTACATACGAGCAAGGCACATCAAAAAAACTACGAATCGACTATTCCCATATCTGTCCCAATCTCTCTGATTTCATTCCTATCGAAAGAAGAATCTCTTTAGATTACTTTTTTTTTTTTTTATAAAAAGTATCTCTGTATGTGTATCCAACAGTCTTGTAAGTATAGGAATAAACGTAGACTTAGATTTTAGATTTTTATTCTCAAGCTATAGATTTTTTTAATCTTAAACTATATTTAGAACTTTGCAAAAAGTATCTGCAAGCGTTTGACTACTTTTGTGAGTGTACAGACCACACGTGTACACAGATTTAGATTTTTGTTCTTAAACTATACAGATATTTAGAGTTTTATTTTTAACCTACACAGATATTTAAATTTTTATTCTTAAACTATATAGATATTTAGATGTTCATTCTAAAGCTGCATAGACATTTAGATTTTTATTTTTAAACTATATTTGGATTTTTATTCTCAAACTACAGATTTTTATTCTTAAACCATATGTAGATATTTAGATTTTTATTTTTAAACTATATTTGGATTTTTATTCTCAAACTATAGATTTTTATTCTTAAACCATATGTAGATATTTAGATTTTTATTTTTAACCTACACAGATATTTAAATTTTTATTCTTAAACTATATAGATATTTAGATGTTCATTCTAAAGCTATATAGACATTTAGATTTTTATTCTTAAACTGTAATTGATTACCAGCGATCAGTGAGCAGCACGTGATTTACTGTCGATTAATATCCCGCATTACATTGAACAAAACGGAACTTGCACGGGGTTCCAGAGAGATAGCTCGACGAGCCTCGTTCGTATGCACGCCGACGCATATTTCTCTGAATTATCGGACGCATCTGTGCATCTTAACGAACGCGAACAATACTATCTTTAGAAATGAAAGAAACGTAAATATAACACAAACCGTTCGAGAGAATCGCCATGTCCATCTTCTTTGAAAGACGCTACTCGTAAACGAGATTAATTTCGTGAAATATATTCGGAGCAGCGTGTACACGCGTACGTGTGTCCGAGAAAAACGAGTCAGTACACAAATCCCCGTATTTTTCATGAAATCTTAGGAAACAGTGATACTCTTTCTTCTGGGATACATCATTCTTCTAACTTACTGACGTAGGCCAATCAGAAGCCAAATACATATGATCAGCCCGATATATATCAAAAAGTAGCGAAATACGAAAATTGAAGACAAAAAATGTACGGAAATATAAATACAAAATACTGACAATTTTATAATCCTTCATTACCTTACTGTTCTTGAAGAACAACTAACAACAAGAAACAAAATCAAAAGAAATGAAAGACATAATGTATCATAAAAGACATGTCATTGGTATTGGACAGTTTCGAGAAAAGATTCGACCTCGAATATCTTCCGATATTTACAGGATGTATAATACACACGGTCGAAAAGTAGCGGTGAAAAAAATCTAGGGACAACGAAAGGAGGAAAGAAATGCATGTACAATATATGGAAATATACAATACAAATACTAACGATTTTCTAAACGATTGAACACGCAGAATGCGTACAACATACAAAATAATATTTTATACAACGATTTGATAAACACCCTTCGTTGCCTCATCGCTCTCGAAGAACTAGTACCAACAAAATCAAAAACAAAAAAAGAAAAAAAAATCGACGAGAGGCGATGTTAGTCAGTTCGCTCGCGAGAGACAATGTATCATAAAAGACGTCATTGGTACTGACAGTTCGAACCTGAAACCTTCTGATATTCGCAGGGGATGTTCATACACGTGCAAGTCGAGGACTGGCAGTGAAAAAAATCAAAGGAAAGGACTTACACGCGGATAGATATTGTAATTTTCGACTCACCAGCACTTTGGTGAAGCGCCTCTCGAGCTCCGCGGCGTCGGGCATCGGTTGCCTCGGCGCGCCGCGGACGCTGCCGCTGCGTGCGTGCGGTCCGCCCAAACTTCCCATGCCGAGGCTCGGTTGACAGGATTGTAGAGGCGTGCCGCCCTTGATGCCGCCGATGAACACCTCGCGGACACCGCCATCGCCTTCGCCGGCGCGGCTCTGCACGATCCCCATTGTCTCGCCAGCCGGGCGGCCGTGGCGCCGACTAATATATATTCACCGCCTCCTCCCCCCCGTCCCGGCGTATATATATCGCCCCGCAGAACACCCGAAAAATCGCGACACGCCGCAAGTACCGTCACGCCACGAGAAACGTCAACATCCGTGCATCCTCGCGGCGATATAGTCGGATGTTGTTCTATTCTTCCGGCGGTATTACAACAGCGGACGTCGATACGTGGACAACGGGAGGAACCGGTGCGCGCCGGGCCGTGCAACAGGTATCAAGCCGTCCATCGCGAGTGCAGAAACTGTCGAACGTGCGCGAACCAAAGCACGACTGAAACCAGTCTACCTACGCGAAACCAGGCACTCGCTGCGTCTGGCGGTCACTTTCCTACTCTCTGACGCACCAGCGCCATTACACATGCGTCGTGTCGCCGCGGCTGGCGCCACCAGTGTCGACACCACTGCAGCGTACGTAGTTGGCAAGCATGACAAGGGAGTTACGGGCTCGCTCGTAGCAGGTGGCGGCACTGCCAAATACAGACTATGCATTTGTGGAAAATTCGAAGATTCATGAAAAATTTGAAAAATTTCAACTTTGTGGACTGGTTTACTTCTTTTAATAAATGTATTATATTACAAGAATTAACAAGAAATTACCACAACTACTATTTATTTCAATCTATGTACAACAAGATGTTTATGTTCGTGATTGCTTTGCTTGATCCTTAACAAATTGAAATTATAATTCTGCTATTTTATTTTCTTTCTTTCTTACTTGCTTTTGTAATTGACGTCGCCGCTAATTAAGCTCGTTTTTAAAATGCATTTTCAAAAGCGAGTTTAACGGCGGCGACGCTGATTTAAAATGAAGAAAGAAGAAAATAAGATGGCAGAAAATATACTGTATTCTCAGTTGTTAATAATTAATTAAAGCAAATGTTACAAAATCTTGTTATTCATTAATATTAATAAATATTCTGTTCGCTGCAGTTCGTGGTTACGAGCGAGATATGCGCTGCCATCTATTGGAACTATTTAGTGGCGCGTAGTTCGTTTCTAGCAAGCGAATCAGCGGTGACGTCTGTTGAAAAAAAAGAAGGAATAAAATAAACAATGGTAAAAATGAGAGAAATTTAACTTAAAAATCAATTAGAAAAGCAAGTGCTGAACAGAACTTGGAGTTGAGAGCCGTTTACATTTCAATACTGTCGGGAAACAAGTAACGTTGTATGTGACAAGGAAAGTAATAGATTTTAGTTTCATCTTTCATTATGGCGCGGCGCTAGTGCACACGAATGGCAAAATTTTCATTTACGAAAAAAACCAATTAAAGGACTAATTTTTGAACTTTTGCATTTGCATCTCCTTTTCTAAATTCTAAGCTTTCTTTCTAAATTCCATGTGATCTAGAAAATGTGTAAATAAAAATTAAAAAATTTCTAGATCGAAACATTCTATTGGTTAAACAAAGAGAGCACGACAGGAGCTTGTGAGATAGATAGGAAACTAATGTGCGACAAGGACATCAACAGTTTTTAGTTCTACAGATTCTCCGCTACGCGACGCTAGCATTTCATTGTCCATAAATTGTGCATTTTCATTTGAAAAAGAAAAAAAAGAAAAACCAATCAAGAGGTGTAATTTCTGAACTTTTGTGTTCCATTTTAGTGTTTCACACCCTCGGTTTTCTTTTTGTGTTTCACTTAATCTGTAAAATGGAAAAATTTACAAATTTTATTACAGAAAATGTTTAATTTTTTGTAAATTACGTGCAGACTTTGGATCACAATTATTCGTACATATAGTTAGAAGTATACTTAATAAATTTAATGGTTTAGTTATTAACGATTATTACATCTTTCACTATCAGATAGACTTTACGTTAACTTACGTGGGAATTACATTACATTGAGATAATTTATGAATTACATTGAGATAATTTATGAATTTATTTTTACAGCGTATTTTTTAACAATATATTTTAATTCAGTCATTGAACAGCGAAATTTTAATGAAGTTAGAACTACATATGTACTTCGCGCATAAAATTTTGAATTTAAATTATCAATAAATCGATGCTTCTTGCGCGCGCTATTTTATCAATACGTCGATCGTTCGGTCAGCGTCCTCTTAGTTGCTGAAGCAAGTGTCATGGCGTCGTTTGAGTGCGTATAAATATATATCGTTTTCTGGGAAACATTATTTGTAAATACTCACGGATCCTATGAACAGTATGAACAGTTTGAAAATGAAGAGATCTCCGTTAAACACGCCGAGTGGTAGTAGGGAGAAACAAAGTTACAACTGGAGGTCGCACGACTACAAAAATAGAATAGGTTATGGTCCCGGTAAAAGTGATGGTCATCAGTGTCATACTCCGAAAACTTCACCGAGTCAGAAACATTTAGGGAATGACTTTATCCCGTTGAATATCAGCACTCCATTGCCAGAGCACAAGAGGTTCAGTAATAATTGGAACGGCTATGGGGGTCGAAATCACCATAATTCAGGTAGTGGCGGGTTTAAACACTACAGGAACCAGTACCATTCGAGCCCAAAGTCAAATTTCAGTAATTCATACTCTCCTTACAAGCTCTCTGGCAAGCAATTTTACGGCCAGAAAAGGGTAACCAATTAGTAGAATTTCGATTTTATTCAGCCTGTTGTTTATGTTAACAAATTAACAAAAGTATTGAATGTTTTTCACTTCAGGTTCAGCGAAGGGATACACGCAAACAGATTGACATATCATCCTACGTTGATATGAAAGCCTTTTTGGAAGATCCTTGGGCAGATTTGACGAAAATGTTGAATGAATCTAAAGAGACAAGTGAGAACGAATCGTCTAAGCTTGAACAGTCGTCCTTGTCGCAAGTCGATGTAGATTCAGATTCGAATGCTGAATGTAAATCTGTGTCGAACGTCGACGATTCTTATTCTAGTTCAAAATCTAGGAACGAATCTTTCGTAGACATAAAATTGCGGTTGGATGATACGGATGTTAGCAATAAGTCGCAAACAGAGAGCTCGATAGATTTAAAGATTGATGATATGAGATGCAGTCAAGATTCAGAAGATGACGGCGTTTGCAATAATAGTAGTAGCATAAGTGAAAGTATTGAAAGTGAGAGTAACGTTAATGATCGTGCTTTAGAGACAAATGTAGTTCAAGCTCTTGTATAACAGTGACAAAGAGTAAAATGCACATAAGAAGAGTGGCAATTCTTCAGTTTAGTGCATGGTACGTTTCATATTGTATATACAAATATTCAGTTGTACATAAGCATTACAAAAATCTAAGCTCGTTTTAGATTTTTGGAATAATAATCTAGTATGTAAACAAACAAAAAAAAAAAAAACAAAAAAAACAGATACTAATTTTTTAGTAATGTAAACTCTTTTTCCGTCTTGAAGGTAGCTCTATCAGAGAAGCATATCTAACATATATGCGAAGTACGATATATTGAAATTATCTTTTAAATTATATCTTCACAAAAAGGCTGTGAAAAAGAACGTAGTTTACATGAAAAAAAAAAAAAATTATACATGTGCAATTTTTCAGTATGTACTGAAAAAGAAGAAGTATAATAACAAGATGAAAAGAAGTCTTATGAATGAAGAAGTTTCAAATAGATTCAATATATAAATACATTTATTGGTCAAAAGTGTCATATATACAAATGAGATTATATTACACAGTTTTATGACAATTTCATATACATATATCGCTGTACCATGGGACTTCTTTTCATCTCAGTACAATAAGTACATATGGGATATGAGGGAACATTAAACCATAACACCAATTTCTCACCAATAAATTAAGAACAATGTAAGCTACAGTTAACAAAACGTAATGCGCTCAGAAATTAATTTTAACTTCACCTGAACGAAGCGATCGATAAAATGTCCATATCTTCAAATATTATTGTTGGATGGTGGCTTTCGATTGATTTCAATTTGTTAATCCATGTGTATTTCTTGTGCTAAAATACAGAAATGTATGCATGATGAATTAAGAGTATGTATGTATATATATATATATATATATATATATACATATTGTAATATCCATCTAGGCAAATGCAATGTTATATACAAGCGTAGAAATAATCATAAAACATGCCCAAGTATGAATTTGGAATTTAACTCTGCTGCATTATTTACGTATCGTCTTATCTTCGATTTACACCGTACTCGATTATATATTTGTGTTAAAATTCTGTAAGTAACAAATTGTCACGTGCATTTGTTCTTACTTTGAATTTGGAGAAAACGTGCTAATGTAGTGAAGTATTTGTAAAATTAAAATGGCTAGGATACAAAATTTGTACAATTGTTATCGTAGAGAAAAAGTTTATTTCCGATCTTTACACATTTTTATAACACGTGCTTTAAACGACATGCTTTAAACGTGTCCTATATGTTTGATTGACATAGTAACTCGATGTACAAATGATGATCTGGTACAAAAATTTACATAATTTAAGAGATTCCTGGTTTCATTTCTTCAAATTGTGATCGTGCAAAAAATGTAATTGATGTCTAAAGCTGTAATCTGTACAAGAGGAAATTGTTTAAAATACACTTAAACTATGATAGTATTCCCTTTCTTGATGATTCTAATCTCTTCTGATGTTCCTCTTCTAATCTCTTTTCCAATCCCTTCTGATATTTAAGTGTATTCTGTTTTCATTTGCCAGACGTACAAAAAAAAAAAAAAAAAAAAATCAATTCTTCCTTTTTAATCTTCTTCATCAAATGGTGTCCTGCCTTTATCCCATCATCTTCCACAAATGAACTTCATGAAAATTAACGACCGCGCGACGAAGATAAAAGAAACTTTGATAATTAATCCAATCGAACGACCTTAGATCTCTAACCTTGTACTTCTAAAGGTAATACAACGGTAAGTAAGATCGTGTAGGTACGTAGATGAATAATTGATCGTGTATCGAAGTAATCAATATAGAGCTATGTATCCCTTAGCGTTAAAGTTTTCAGCTACGTTTCTCAACGTTTCGCTTCTTATTTTGTCGCGCGGCGAGAAACTTCATCAGGCAAAACGTGAAACTAAATCACGATCGTCGATCGAGCGTAGCTTCCTTGTAAAGAGAAATGGCGAAACTTCAAAATTACGTTTGTACGTGTTTCTTCATATGCATTCGCAGCTGACGTAAAGCAGGATTTGTTGCTTTTCTCGTCGCTGGGAGAGCTAACTGTTCCCCGAACGAATGAAACTTTCACGAAGGAAAGAGATGCACCTCCCCACCTCGATTTCGAAACTTTTTACTTGGAAAAAGAGCTTTATAGCTCGGGACACTAGTTCTCGGAATCACTGTGTGTATATCTGCACAGTTTTATGTGACTCGATATTATCTTCGTGGTTTTATAGTGCATGTTCCGAGAACGTAAACTTATAGTAGGACGCGTAGATACATCGGTGGCCTTGAATGTTTATCATAATATCACTCGACATAATTTTCAGAGATATTTCCCTTACTTTTATTCGGGCAATTTTCACACGCGTGATTTAGAGAGGAATACTTACGCTGCTCTCGTGCATGTATCCTGCAATGATCTGGGGGGGGGGGGGCGTCAAATAATATCGATCACGCCAAGTATTTACAAATTTTGTATTCTCTTTTTTTCTTTGCTTTCAACCTTCGGCACAAATTCAAATATCGGTACAGCACGCAGAGAGGAATTTATCCGACAAAAAGTGGAGATTCGCTGTCTAGAAGAAGGGAAACTTCGATTACAAAGGTAGGATCCGTCTCTTTCTCGTCTCTTTCATTTATGCACATATATTCCATTTTTTCTTTTTCTTTCTCTTTATACATTGACAGAGCAATGTAAATTACGTTGAGCTTACGTTATCGAATATTTTAGTAGTTTACTGCGGTTTTCTTCTCAATTGCTCATCCATGTGACATGAAACTCCAACAATTTTATAACTTCACAGATGATACTCACTCAACCAGTGCATTTGTACTCCAAAATAGTGTGACTGTTTCTTGAATTCGTGTATGCTGTACAAAATCACTTGACATGAAAGAAGAAAAATTCAACTCTAGGGAGGGTACTCCAATATAAATTACAATTTTTTCGTTTTTTCCGTAAACACATGTGAAAATCAATATCCTGATAGTTATTGAAGGATTTTTATTAGTAAAATTATATCTATCTATATATATGTATATATATATATATAGTATAGTATATGTATATATTTACTAAATATAATATACGCAATATAATCGAGATTAACATATCGTCACATACGAAAGAGAGTTCGAACGTTTTGTGGTTTCGTCATTCCGATCTACGATTTTCAAGAAACGCAACGTATACCTTATGTATTAATGACTTTATTAAAAACTTACGTGTTACGCAATTATAAATAACATATCGAGGAGAGTTTACGAACGTTGCATTCTTCTCGCAACTTAGTTAGCTATCAAGTTTTCCTCTCAACAGGTAATAATAATACACGTTATATATCATCCTCATGCAATTAAACTGCTGTAACATGATGAACCTCGATTTTCCCAAACCGGTCGTCCGATATCGGCGCGATACGATACAATTTTGGTCATCGTCGTGGACGTGAACTTTCGCGAATCACGTCTCTCCCACCCGCAACAAATTTTGCACATTTGCAAACCATAAGTAGGAAACTTGCGCATAACAATACACATAATAAGTACAAGCCTCGCCGATCAAATGATCGTTTCATATATATGTATATATATACATAGAGAGAGAGAGAGAGAGAGAGAGAGAGCACTGATCTGCCTTAGACCAACATGATCAGAATTCTAATCTAAGTACATATATGTATATATATATATACAGAGATACTGTAATCGTGTTTTGTTTAGCTCCCTCGAAAAAAAAAAAACACATTTGCTTAACTCGGGACTTGTTGAAAACTTGTTCAACCCATTTTCTTGTCTTTTCTTTCCCTCCCCCCGCCCCTTTTTTTCTGTTTTTCTTTTTTCTTCTTTTTCGTAAGAGAATATGAACTCTTCTTTACATACTTTGGTCTCTTTGTTTAAAGCTATATGATTATTAAACATTTGGAGGTAATTGATTCTCTCGTCGTCTGACACGGGTCTCATGCCTTATGGTCTCGTGACTGACTATAGTCTCTTCGCGGTGCAACTGGCTTCGCCAGAATAGCAGCTTTTTCGTTGTATGAATTTTGGACATTTTTTTTTTTTTTTGTTGCTTGTCCTCCTCGTGTGACACGGTACAGCGAAATAATGTTATTGCAATTTTTTTTTAACCCCCGTTTCCGAAAGCGGAAAGTTTTAAAATACGTCTAACTTTTAGTGAAATTTATATTTATATAAGCGCAATGGTTGTTAGAATACAGAGCAAATTATAAAATGATACATAACACGATCTGTGAACGATAAACTGACGTCACTGCAAAAGAAATGACACGGAGAGCATTTTTAATAATCATTATTGTTAAAAGTTTAATTTTTTTAAACTTATTTTTCTAATAACGTACACAAATAATATATTTCGCGGAATTTATGATATTTTTGAGTGTACAAATTTTGTAAATTTTGATGTTATTTTCGTCCTTCGAACGGAAGATGTGTGTACCTACATTATCTGACTAGCATAGCAAAACTAAAGTAAATTCTAAATTGTATGAAACATTGAAACATAATAATATACCTCTAACTGTTAAATTTGTAAAACATTGAAGAAAAAATTATAAAACATTGAAACATAATAATATGCCTCTTCTAACTGTTAAAATTGTAAAACATTGAAAAAAAAAAAAATATAAAACATTGAAACGTTGTGATGTGCCTCTTGTAGCTGTTAAATCTCTGAAATTGACCGATTTCAAATAGATTACGCGATTACACGGTCCGTGTAACGTTTACAAAAATTTTTTTATCAAACAAACTTGCATGAAATTCTTCTTCGTGAGAATTTTTTTAGGAGGCTCTTTATGATATATATATATATGTATATAAGATGTTTCTTAACTTGTGGGACCCAATTCGGGAGCTGATTGCACGCCTAAAAATAATGAAAAAAAGTCATATATAAATATATGTCCTATCTGTCTTCGTTTACGAGATATAATGAATTTTATAAACAGAGCAAACTCTCTGATAACCAATAGTTGATAATTGGCACATATGATTTATGATTGAATACGTAATAAAATTTCTAGAAACGTGTGAGAAGTTGTGAAGAAACGAACAAATTGGTTAATTTATATTATATTATTTTATATTTATTTCCAGGGCTCCAGTGTTCGTAAGCAAGAATTCGCACTGTTTACAAATAATGCTTACTTGATATCTTTCGTTTTTTGTACTTGGTTCCTGTAAATGTGTGAACGTGAAGAGAGTTTTGTATCTACCATACTTTTTACCAGGGATGGCATATTCAATTTTCATAATAATCATAATTGGGATGAAGAAAACCCACATGTTATTGTGCATTCAAGACATCAACACCAGTTTAGTT